ATATAGGTCCACACACCATTTAGTCTCAAAGAGGTTCATGGGCAAGTCTTTTCTTTCTTACCAGGTTATAAATGCCCCAGACTGAAAAATGGCTTTTGTATCTCTAAATCAAAAGAAGTCGAGCGGATCTTGAAAGAGGGAGCTTAAAGATTCATCTTCCCACCCAACTCTTGGCTGCCCTCCACTGTGGCCTCCTATCCAACAGCCTAGCACACAACTGGGCTCACAGCTGGCACTCAGTAAATATTTGGCAATGTAGTCAGGAGGTTGGTTAAAGGGATGACCATGGCAGGTCCTCAGCCCTGCTTCCTTGATTAGGCTAGTGCTAAAGGATCTAATAAACACACATGGAAATGTTGGCCACACTCAATATTCTCCTCTCTGCTCATGTTAGAACCTATCTACCCCTGAGAAGCTGTGTCTTGTCTGGGGTGATAAGGTCTGGACAGAGAGCTATGTCTGGATCTTCCTATGGAGGGCAGAAGAACTAGGTCTGGACCTTACTATGTTACCCATCTGGAGTCGGATGCCTCTTTGTCTGAAAGATTGGTTGGACTCAGCTAACCACTAAGGATACAAGTGAGAAAGAAATTGGGCTTATTATTTGGGTCCTGTCTCTGAAGGTTGCAAGGAACTAGGTTATACCAAGTTGAAGTTAACAAGGAGATGTCCAGTCCCTGTGTGATCCAGGATCACCCACAAGGAATTCCCAACTCTGCCCAGGAGCTTCATATTATTTAGCACCTAGGGTAGGGCTCATCCTGAGTCTGTGGGGAAAGAGAAGGGAGTAGATTCTTGGCCTGGAGGTGAAGTTGCAGCTGAACTGAAGCTCTGATTTGAACTTTAGGAAATACACACAAGCTTCAGAACCACAACATCTAAATCAGCTCTCCCCACCTCCTTCACATCATGAGACAACACATAATCCTGAGGACAGAGAGGAATGGGTGGGGGGGAGCCAAGAGAAGAAAGAGATGCTTTTCAGCCATGTGGGATCTGAAAGTGCATTTTATTAGATGTAAAAGTAGGGAGACGCTCCCACTACCATGACTCGAATTCGACCTTGCAAGTCTGGCTAGACCAGAGGATGTA